TAAGCGATGTGAGTAAGCTCTTAGTAATAATAAAAATAGTAATAAAAATAAAAAAGTGAAACAAGGTTTGATACATGTTATTGTAAATATAACAAAAGGATTATTAAATTACAATCAGTGTCAGTCAAATTAGTTTTATTCCTGTTCAATTGTTATACACTAATTTAGGAAATGACAAGACCACTTCCAACATTTGTGGCTGAAAGGCATCAATTATATTCACAAAGTATCATATAGCACTTGAAGATCTTCTGCTGAATTAGTACCTTATTGTCACAGACAGCCAAAATAAGTAAACTGCTGCATCCCAGGATAAAATGGAGCAGTGCAATAAGGAATTGTTTCTACATTTTAAAGGCACATAAATTTACAATGCGACACCTTGAAAACAGTTGCATTTGTGTTAATAAATGTCCCCCACTGTTAGAGTATAAAGATCCCTAGCCCAAACATGTTTTTGTTATGGATAAAATGATAAAGAGTTAGAACCCCTGTCAGGTTTTCATTGGGTTTCCACATAGGGGTATTACAACTCTTTATTTGTTTGGTGACCAATGTCTTTGGAGAGAAAATAATGGGAAATCCAAAATGTTATTGTTCTCACCAACAGGACGTGAGGAGAATACTTTGTTTGATGACACAACTTCCTGTTGTGTCTCTAACAGGAAGTGAAGCAAAAGTTCCCTAATGGAACATAAACTGCAAACAAATTGAAAGGGGGTTTAACCATTCCCTACTGTATCCCTACCATAAATAAACAAAAAAAGGTTTTGGCTGTAAGTACAATTTTAATGAAACATCCCTGTATCATCAAATACCCACATAATGATGGAAGGATGTTTAAAGGGACACCATCACCTTGACCTTGGAGGTCAAAAAGTGACTGTGAAAAGCCCCCAAACTCCCCTATACTCACCTTACTAGCGCTCCCCTGCTCCTCCCTCCCCAAGAACTGTCACATGCTCCTCCATACCCAAAGATGGCTGCAAAGGAAGATGGAGCAGCGAGGGTGCGCTGGTGAGGTCAGTATATGATGATTAGCGGGGGCATTTGCAGAACTCTATCCCTTTACCCTGCATTGGTGAGGAGACAGTGTCTCTTCAAAGTCTGTGCTTTGAAGTTAGTAGTTCCTGTTAACTGGAAATTGTGAATATATTATAAACCTTCAAATGGTAAATGATGATTCTGTGAAGTCTGTTAGGCTGTTTGGAGTATATTACTCACCCCCCTTCCCATGCTGTGAGGGAGGATTGTAAATGTTGTTACTGTGGTCACTGTGTACTGTTCAGATCCTCATACCATCTGTGAAGCCATCATGATTAACTTTCAGGATGTGGACAACTATTCAAGCTGGAAATGTCATGGATGTGAAATAGTCTGATCATTAAAGTTGATCTAAACCCATTCACTAAAATCCCATATAACCTTTTACATGTAAATTCCTTTTCAAATGTTGTTTTTCACTTGCTATACATTTGCTGCTTCCGTTTTAAGAATACCAGGTAATCCTGCTATAAAGGTTCATATTCGGGCACTTCCTGCCATGGGGTGAAGTGACAACTGACTAAGGTGGTTGTATTGTAAATGATCAGTAATGCTGAAAAGGAAACAATCAGTGATTGCAATAAATCTAATTGATTGCGATCAAATGGATCTATTGTTTGTTGTGCCATTTTTGACTAGAGGTTTGCTTGAAATGATTAATTCTTATGATCGAGTAATCAGTTATTGTTATGTGTATGGCTAGCATAAGAGATTGTATGCCCTTTGATCTTTTCGATCTGTCTACCTTATACCCGAAAGATTGCAAGCTCTTCTGCCTTTTCTATGTTTGTCTTAAAGCTGAACTCCATGTAAACAGCAAAAACACAAATGTAATACCTATAGGGGATCTGTTTTACCAGCTAAATAATTTGCGTTTCTGTCCATCCAGATTTCCATAACTCTGCCAGACTGTACAACCATAGAAGAGAAGAAGATGAAGCATTATAGAGCTTCCAAGTTTAAAATATACGCTTTTATTTGGGGTACAGCAGGTGCCAATGCGTTTCAGGGTCTTAGAAGCCTTGAACAGGGCTTTGAAAAAGTTTGTAGAGTGGAGCTATTTGACTAAGAATTTAGCTCTTTGAGATGCTGTGCAGACCTGTCAGCAGCTGTGCTGACCTACACATAGAACAATGCCCATTTAATGTGTATACAGGGTGAAGGTGTCTGCACAGCAGTGGCTTTTGAGATTAGATAGTGTCAGTCTGAGATCAGTTAATGATTGCTTTTATTCTCACATACACATTAATATAAATTCAATGTGAAATGCCAGGCAAACACATATAAAATCAAATGCAACACTCATGTATACTAGACCTTAAGCACATGTTAATTCCTGGGTTTCTATTATCACTGATTTATTTATCCACTTCCACTATGTACTGACAGCCAGTCTGGTAACATTTAACCTTCTCTCTTGTGTTGACCTCTTGGTCCTTCTGACTGCTACAGTGGAACTCCAGCAGAGATGTGATGGTAGAAGGTCAGCAATGAAATTGTAATGTGCCCTGGAGGCAGCTGCCTCTATTAGCTTTGTCTCAGTTGAATTTGTTCACATTACCGTTCACTATCTTACTTGCTGGACTTCATTTTCTCAGTTCAATTTTCATTTTCTTTTTGTAATGTTTCGCTATGTTGTATTACGTGAGCCCTCCCATTTTTTTATTTGCAGGTCGGCATTGGTGATGTGCACACCCTCATGTGAAGGCACAATGGATGTTGATATGACTTGTTTTCATTCACTAGTCATGCACAGTGTACTTCCAATGTTAAAGCATAACCCCATGCAGAGAGCTCCTTTTTAATTTACGGTGTGTAAACAAAAGTTACCTTTGATGAGATGTATGCCATATCAGTTTACTTTTCTGTCCTTTGAAATCCAGGCTTTTGTTTATGCCATAGTATAGCTATCACCATTCTTCCAGCCTGATCTGCGTTTTAGAGCCTTTCATAGACAAAAACGCTAGTGTGGTTTATCTGCCCCCTCTCCACGTGACCATTCACAGAACACCTTGTATTCTGTCACAGAATATAAATGCAGAGCGGTATGTACAACAAATTGCACTCCTGGCATCCCATCCGGTTCCTGAGGTGGGACGCTGGGCTGGGATGCAGCACGTCGGCCAGAGCATCCCAGGTTGCTAAGAAATGGGTGGGGAGATATGTAAGGGCCATAGACATCTCCCCATCCAGTTCTAAGTAGCCTGTGACATTCTGGCCGGTGTCCCACTCACATACATATATCTCCCCATCTGCTCTGGTTGCTATTAGCTGGGTGGGGAGATATGTATGGGAGACGGTTGGGGAGATCAGCTGTCTCCGTGTGTTGGCAAACTTTGACTGACTCAGCCCCCCTTCAAGTGGTGCACGGGGCATGTGCCATACCCTGGATATGTCACTGTATGAATGAGCACTAAGAAACATTCAAAATAGGATTTTTATCTACCACCTATGTTCCCTCTAGGGAAGTCAAGATTTCCCTTGACTTCCTATCCTGTAGACACAACAGAAAGTGGGAGGAGAATTCTCCAAGGTGAGGAAAATCGCCACTTAGACAGTTGTCACAGGAACAAGTGTCCCCATTGAAAGATTTCCGCCCTATGCCTCTTCATGTGGCTTTAGAAACACTTTAAATCATCTGACCCAAAGCCACGCAAAGCAAGCCGATGTACGGCTGATTTCAGCCGATGTACGGCTGAAATCAGCCGTACCAGCCTGAAGTGAATAGCCGAACAGTGTTCGGCTCACTTCACTTCAGATTGGTCATTCACTCGGCTGCCCTCGGCAGCTAAGTGAATAGACCCCTTAATATTCTATCTGTTGTTACATAAGTTGTGACTAAACCTAACAAATAAACCTGTGCCTGTGACTAAGATTATAACAGACCTTGATCTACTGCAAACCGTCAGCAGGTTTTTCCATTAAGGTTACTTTGGGAACACTTTATTGTCACATTGTGCGACACTGTCAGGTATTACTGGAGCCTCAGATTTCATTTTGTTATTGACACAACCTCACATAGCATTTTGTTCTATCCTTCACTCATAAATGTGTTGAATAGTCATCCATATATAACTTTTACTGAACATGATTTCATGTTAAGAGCTTGAAGGTGAACAGCTGTTTTCGCACTTAAAAATACATTACGCTGTGTTTTTGTGTCGAGAGAAGACTAATCTGTCAGCTGCAGTATGTTAAAGTCATTGCATCATTTCACTATATCAGGACACAGTATCTCCTTTGGTCCTTTTCCTTGACCCCTCAGCAGGGAGCTTAGCAGTAAAGACAGAGCCTGGTTACAAGATGGATCAAATGAGGAAGATATGAGTGGTGCTAATAAAGCTACTGAAGCATTACACTGCCAGGATCTGCTCCAGGCTTAGTGAATAGAATATCTTCCACCCCTGCTAGCATTTCCAAAATATACTGCGTTCTCTAATCCACCTAAACATATCTCTTTATAACAGTGAAATCAATCAGGGTAAGGGATTTACTCACTACCAACGCCATTCCCCAGGGAATGACATTCTGTATACTAAAGCTGTTTGAAAGGAAACTTTAATACTTTTGGGTCAAATTAATTTAAATTCTAAAAGATCATAAGATTTTAAACTGACACTTTATATGTGGTTTACTATATATGCAAAATACTTATTGTAAAGAAGAACTCCAGGCAGAAATGTTACTAACCCTTGCAATGGGGCTGACCCCCAGGGTTAATAAAATGTCTGCCTGGAGTTCTTCTTTAAAGTACAGTTAACTATTCCTATATGACAAGTAACAAATTCAGTTACTATGTGATGCACAAGCCTCATAAAGTAAACAAATACTTCCTTTACCTTCCACGATTGAGCCAAAATCACCTTCATCAGTGTCTCACATGCTCCCTCTCCTGGACGATACAGCTTAAAGTGAAGGGGGGATTAGCTGCAGGGGCAGTGCTGTCAGTCCAGAAATAAGTGGGCAGGACTGGGTGTGGCCAAGTGCTGAATGACAAGCTACAGGCTTCTGAATCAGGAGTAACAATGCTGATAGACACATCCCTGAATTTGCTTTCTGTCACTCTGTAGTGCAAGCAGGCACAACCTACATGAAAGTGACAACTCTGCTCTGAGTTCAGGAGCAGTGCAGTATTGTTGCTACTCCATCACAGGAAGCTGCATTAGGTGGACTTCACTGGCAGGATTAACAGGAATCTGTGGGACTTTGCAGGGGGACTAAGAGAAAAGTGTAAGTGTAAATGCACTTATCATTAAGTGCTACAGCACATGTTTTTTTATTTGATGTGAGGCCATAGTTCTACTTTAAAGTAGGGGTGCGGAAATTAACGATTAATCCGTTGATTAATCGTTAATTTCTTTGATCGATCAAAATTATTTTGATCGATCAAAGTACTCACCTCTCCGCCGGCTTCCGGGTCGTCCGTTGGAGATCCGGTGACGTTACGGACATCGACGTCACTGGACTCCTCACCCCCTCCCCGAGTGGCTCTGTCGGCTAACGAAGGGAAGGGGGAGGAGTCGGGTGATGTAGTTGTCCGTGATGGGTAACGAAGGGAAGGAGTCCGTTGTAGATGTCCGTGATGTCACCGGACTCCTCCCCTTCCCTTTGTTACCTGAACGGAATCACTTGGGCCGGTGAGTCTCCTGGTTCATGAGTGCATCGGATGTGAAAACCAAAGAGAGAAACAAGAGGGCACAAAACTAGGTCAGCTGACTGCCTGGACTGAACATATCAGGGAAGGTGACAGGAACAATAAATATATATGTACAGTATAATGATTTAAAAGAAATTTGATTAATCGAACAGGAAAATTTTAATCATTACCAGCCCTACTTTAAAGGCTTCCCAAAGCAATGTGGGCTCCAGTTATAACACAGCCCTATCACTGTTTAAAAAAACAAATGTACATTGCGCTCCATCTGCTTTAGGACCCCAGAGCAATCATGTAAAGAAAAGAGCCAAGGGGAGGAGAGCCAGTTCAAGTGATCCGTCAACATCATGTGACCAACTACTCCTCCAATCACTGAGTTCTCTCTGCAATGTTAAGCAGAACTCTATGAGACGTAGTAGGTTCTACACCACAACTTGCATTTATTAATGGGATGTAAAATGCAGGTTGTGGTGTAGAGTAGCACTGTGGTGGCTGGTGGACAGCTATAAATAACAATAAAGGCCTATGCGTTTCTAAAGAGAGATCCCAGCAGTTGGCTTTTGTCAGGCTGGCTGTCCCTGTCTGAGATCTCAGATTGAGGCATTCAGAGGGAGGGGGGAGGAGTTCTGACTTGTTTACTTCTGTCTGTAAATTTCAATTTAAGCTATTGAGCTCTGTAAACAACCTAATTTTTGCAATAGGACAGCAGAGGTAAAGAAAATCCCGAAAGCATGTGAAAATAAGCAAAAAGCTTTGCTTGGTGGCTGCAAATAAGGAAACAACATATGATCATGCAGTTGTGCTTAATAATCTGACAAGAAATACAAAAATATTGATATTTTAGCTCAGACCAGAATAAATAAAAACATACACAAAACCACTGTACATTACCTTTAATGTCTGTTTGGTGACCCAGAATGAGAAAACTTAGTTTTAACTACTATGTATTCTGACCAGTATTGTGATCTGAGAAGGTCTAAATATTGTGCTGGTTCCACCAAGAAAGTTGGCTACCCATCAATTCAGAGGCTTGGCATCTGGCAGAGGGAAAATTGTCATCATTGATTTCCTTTGTGGCTCTGAAATGTTATGTTTCTGACTGCAGAGAGCCAGAAAAAAAGTCAATACTGGAAGAATGTGACACTGTTAACTGTGTTGTACTTGTTTGTTAGACATTTGTGATGATGGCATGGTATTTTGTTTAGTATTTTATCATATGAGCTCATAAGTCATCTTGTTCAGCTCATAAAATACTTCCTCATTTACAATTCATTACATACAAACCCTCTTTTTTAGTATATATGCGAAGAGGCATGTTGCTATAAACCATGTTCTTAAAAACAACACCATGGCCACAGATCACCACAATACTTTGTGTGGTGAACTTTTAGCACGTTTTGCTTTCCCGTTTACTCAATGGGTAATATTAACCACTTCCGGGCCGCAATGCGTGTATATATATATACGACGGCCCGCAGAAGTGGTTAAAACAAGAACACAGCTGCTGCTGCCGTAGCCGTGTTCTTTGTGTCATTTTTAACAGCCGTCGACTGCTGTTAATGTACAAGCAATCCGGCGTCTATACAGCCGACGTAATGTTTGTACTGACCGGCCCTGCCTCTCCCTACCGCCGGGGCCACCCTCGGCTTGCCCGTGCTCCACTGTCCCTGAGCGGGGCCCGGGACCGGTTCAGCGGGTCTCCATGCAACGATCAGAGAGAGATTCAGAGGCTTCCAGCTGCTGATCTCTCCTGCGATCACTGGACCTGGAAGTGATGTGTATTACTTCACTTCCGTTGTCACTATTTACATTCTCCGGCTCTTAGAGCTCAGCTTCTTAGGGGTCCCTAGGTGGCATCAGGGGTCATAAAAAGGACCTGTCACACCCTATCTGCTATTACATAGGGGGCTTGTTAGCCCCCTATGTGATAGCAATAAGGTTAGTGTAAAAAAAAAAAAAAGGTGTTTAAAAAAAAAGTAGCATATAAGAAAAATAAAAAAAATGTTTTTAAGTCCCCCGACCCCCCACGTGCACACACATACACATGAAAACACGCGTCGGTGCACCTACGTGCAAAAACGACAATTGCACTACACATGTTACATGCCGCTGCAAACGAGTGAGAGCAATAATTGTAGAGCCATTAATCACTGTTAGCACTAAACTTATGAGGGATAAAAGCGTATACAGTGTCCCCTATGGGAAATTTGGGGTATTAAAGTTTTTTGCGGCTCCACGGGCGAACGCAATTTGAAGGCTTGACATGTTTGGTATCTCTTTACCCGACATGACCCCATCTTTCATAATTTACCAAAAAATTGGGTATTATATTCTGTGCACTAAATTTTAGTTAAGTTTATTTTGTCCTAAAAGTACTGGTTTGATAAGCATTTGCGCAAATATCGCGCGATATAAAAAATTGCAACTAGCATTTTTATTCTACAGAGCCTCTGCTTTTATTTTGTCATGTGTGCGCAAATAGTAAGAAATTGCAGCAAGTTTTTAAAGGCGTTATTCAGTCACAGCAAAACTGGAAACTACAGCTAGATTGAGAGCAAAATATTAAGACTTCCAATACTGTTCCTATGTAGATAACAGATAATTAATCTTATAATGCTCCAGATGGAACATGTCAACCCAACGTTTCATGTTTAATTGTGTTCATTAAACAGTGTTGAACTTGCTCCTGTTATTATTATGTATACTCATTTTAAAGTTTTAGCAAATTAACATTGCTCAGAACTAGCGCAGAAAGCGATCACATTTAAATGAAAAATGAAACACATTTGGTTTTATGATAATTTCATTTATGCAAATGTTTATTTTCTTTGCTGTTAAAAAAAAAAAAAAAATGGTATGTTTCTCCCTTTGGACAGAATTTTATTATCTTAGAACATAACGTGGAGCTCTAGCCTAAACCTTTCTTTCAGTTTTAGTGGGGAAATGCTTCAGTCACAGTGTGGAGGTAGCACATGGTCGGAGGAAGCCAAGATGTGTGTTTAGCTAATGACACTTTGTCAGCCTTGTAGGTTCTAATGCAAATATGCTGATTATTGTGACCCATTATATAGCTTATTGCCAGCTAACAAGGTAACATTTTCTTAAAGAGACGCTGTCACTGACGCAGACGGTGACAATATTAGGCACATTCCTGTATGCAGCAGGATGTTACCTCCTCCCCGGTGACAGTGCTCAGGCCTAGCAGCCAGTGGCTAGGCCAATATATATACAAACAAGCAAGTGATTGCGATTATTATTCTTCTACCCTAACACAGCTGCTGTATAAATACCCAAAGTACTGTATATAAGATGAAAACATACAGCGCTAAAAACAAAAAACAACCCAATGCAGTATACCATCAGCTATAGAGGACTAAAAGTCTCAGCAATACATTATACAACAATGCAATATAGCACTGACTATAGAGGACTACAAATGCCAGCAATACATTATACAGCAATGCAGAATGGCACCAGCTATAGAGGACTACAAATCCCACAATACATTATACAGCAATGCAGAATAAAGCTGTCAGGATCCAGAGCACCCCCAGGTGGCGCTGGAGCCGGGTCCAGCAGTTCCTGTGCTCGCCTGCGGGTGTCTCCAGCAGCCAGGAACTGTAAGGAACCTGCAGCTCCGGTACTCACCTGCGGGTGTGCCCAAGCTGTGACTGATCATCCCATCACCTGGTGCTTCCTGGGAGGGTATTTAGGCCCTCCTTGCAGTCAGGAAGCTGGCTCAGTATTGTGTTGCTAAACCTGACTGATGACCTTGCTGCCTGAACCTTGCTGCCTATCTGAAAACCCGTCACCGACCCGGCTTGTTACCCAACCACTCTCCATTGAATCCTGTTGCTGTACCGCGCTGCCCTCCTGTTAACGACTCGGCTTGTACCTGACCACTCTTCTTGTATCCCGAGGCCTGCTGTACATCTGCAGACCTGTTACCCCTCTTTGTTTGGTTTGTAGTTTTGTTGATGTGGAACCAATAAACTGTGCATATAACCCTATCCTGTGTGGGCATATTAATTTGGTCATCCTGCGTGGGTACCTGCATGTGGTGTGAGAACGCCTGTGCAGGGTATCCTGACAAAAGCATAGAAACAGCAGACAATATTTTTAAATTAGCTGTGGAGTTCAGGTGCAGTTTTGCTGCATCATACCTGCACATAGAGCACCTTGTGCTGCAGCTCTGCTCCAGCCTGATGTCTGGGGGCAGAGGGTCTCTGGGAGGGGGGATGTGCGGGTCGGCAGAAGCACTTTAAACAGAGGCGCTGCATGGTTCCAAAGAAGGCTGCAGTGAGGTGCCGAGCAAGTGCAGGACCTAAGGCAGCCGTGTAATTTGCATAAGTTAAAGCGCCAGTATCGATTTTTGGTATCGTAGCCTTTGCACAGGTAGGAATAATCGTGTAAAAGCTCAGTATCAGCACTAATATCAATATGGGTATCATTGCATCACTAATATATATTATTTTAAAAATCCTTCAATAAATCATTTAGCATCACACAAAGTGCAAATAAGTAAATATGTGCATAAATATATGTGCAAAAAGACCAAAAAGTTATTTTATATATAATGTCCACAATGTGCCAATAATCCAAAAAAGGTGTTTCACTCCTTTTTTGAAAATTAGGTCAAAATGCACAAAACAATGCTCCTGGCTAGATTCAATTCAGAATTCCTCCTCAGCTTTTTGCAGTGTATCTAGAACACCCAATGGAAGAAACCGATTGTACAGAATCTTGCCCCAGAAATCAATGCTTGGACTCCATTCCTTCTCAATAAAAGTGTGCTGGATCCCATTCATGTGAGACAAAAAGGTGAGGCTCATAGAATAAACTTTACCCCTTTATTAAAGCCAAACATAAAAGCATCCAATATACCGTACTCACACAGTAAAGTACATAAAACCTGCACTGGGTACAGATAACCAAATTTGGCAGCAAGCATTCACCTATATACCCCATGCAAATGTTCACTCACTCATAGACGTGCGCTGTCAGTCTACAATGCATTTTGACCTACTTTTCAAATAAGGGGTCACACAACACTTGAATTGATTTCCTAGAGGGCCTGGTGAAGCACAGGGTAGAACGGGATCCTTGGAATGTTTGTATTTAGTTTTTTTTGGACTATTGGCACATTGTGCACATTACTTGCTAGGCCTAACCACTGTCACATGACTGAAGGAGTGATGTCACTGCTCCCCTTAGTTACCCATTAGTGATTTCAGTGCTGGCTGCAATGGAGGAACGAGCTGCGAGGGTGTACAGGTAAGGTGGTTTGGTGGGGGCTCTACAAAGACCCTTTGCAATGACCCTGTCCGGTCTCTAAAGAAATCAAACTGACCCTCTCCTACAATCGAAGAGTTAATATACTCCCCTCTCTGGGGACCTGCTTCTCCAACCTCTACTCCATTTCAGTGCAAAACCCTTTGTCAGTGTTTTCAACATTTGACACTTCCAGGAGTGTCAAATGCCTGTGTCCCTCCACTGTGGTTCCTTCTGTATTGATGAAGGAGTCTGTCAGGATCCAGAGCACCCCCAGGTGGCGCTGGAGCCAGGTCCTGCAGTTCCTGTGCTTGCCTGCGGGTGTCTCCAGCAGCCAGGAACTGCCAGGAACCAGACCACCACTGGGTGGTGCTGGAAAGCTGCAGCTCCAGTACTCACCTGCGGGTGTGCCCAGGCTGTGAGTTATCACCCCATCACCTGGTGCTTCCTGGGAGGATATTTAGGCCCTCCCTGCAGTCAGGAAGCTGGCTCAGTATTGCGTCGCCTGCTCCTGACTGACTCCCATGTGTGACGCTCGCCTGTATCGGCTGTGGAAAACGTGGATCGCAACTGCGGTTCTCAGCTGAAGGATTAGGACGGGAATCAGATAGCAACTCCTCCACCTCGCTATACCCAGTTTTGGAATAAGGCTGCGAGGAAGTTGCAACACATCATACCCCGTTTGCACTGAGAGGTGTAACAAAATGGGGTTCAGCAGACATCAATAGTCATTGTATATAATCAATTGTGGACAGCAAGGTTCGGCAGACATCAATAGTAATTGTATATAATCAATTGTGGACAGCAAGGTTCAGCAGACATCAATAGTAATTGTATATAATCAATTGTGGACAGCAAGGGTCAGCAGACATCAATAGTAATTGTATATAATCAATTGTGGACAGCAAGGTTCAGCAGACCTCAATAGTAATTGTATATAATCAATTGTGGACAGCAAGGGTCAGCAGACATCAAATAGTAATATGTATATATCAATTGTGGACAGCAAGGGTCAGCAGACATCAAATAGGAATTGTATGTAATCAATTGTGGACAGCAAGGTTCCCTACTCCCAGGGAGATTCCCTGGTTACTTGCGGTTTTAGTGCTGGCCTCAGATGCTCAGATGAGGTTTGTAGGCGTCAGGTCCTATGTAAGGCGAGTGGGGAGCTGAGCTGATCAGCGTCCTGCACACTCAACAGAAGACGCTGATCAAGTGCTGAGATGCGGCTTTTAAGCCGAGTGCTGCGTCTGAAGGGGGCGGAGTCCCGCGGCGCGCCTGCGCCCGATGTGGACGGTTCTCGAGGGAGAGAGAGAGGGATCTCTCTATGCGCCTGCGCAGGGTGTTGCTGGATGGCGGCGGTGGACGTCACCCTCTGACGCTGACGTCTCTGAGTCGCAGACCCGCGGCGCGCCTGCGCAGTGAGCCCACGACCCGCGGTACCGGCTCCCATCATGGTCCGTCTGTTACACCATGTCCTGTGCCTTGGAACCTGAACCCTGCTTCCTGAACCCTGCTTCCTATCTGCAAACCTTTCACTGACCCGGCTTGTTACCCGACCACTCTTCTTGGATCCTGTTCCTGTACTGCGCTGCCCTCCTGTTAACGACCCGGCTTGTTACCTGACCACTCTTCCTGTATCCTGAGCCCTGCTGTCTATCTGCAGTCCTGTTACCCCTCCTTGTTTCTGTTCCCCCCTGGCTGTAGGTGTGTTTGCTCCAACCGTGGTTTTGTTACTTCACTGCTAAACCTGTGGAGATTTGAGAGGGTTTGTAGTTTTGTTTGCTGTGTAACAAATAAACCTTGTGCATAACCTCATCCAGTGTGGTCATATTAATTTGGTCATCCTGCGTGGGTAATTGTATGTGGTGTGAGGACGCCTGTGCATGGTACCTTGACAGACTCAGAGGAAGGAAGTATAGTGCATGGTGGGGGACACAGACATCCATCACTCCCAGTAGTGTCCAAAAGCAAAGACACCAACAGAGGCTGCATTATTGGAATGGAGGGGAGGTGGGAGACATGGTCTGGATCAGTTAGAATACTACCTCTTCTATTGTAAAAATGGCGTCCATTAGAGGCCCATTTTAATGGGAATGTGGGGACTATTATTGTGATTTTGTGTGTTTTTTCCCAGTTTTAAATATATTTCAGTTACGGCCCCTTTAAGAGAATTTAACTGTCATTTTTTTGGCGGGAATAATCTTTATTTTGGCGGGAAAACATCGCCACGAGGATTTCTGGAAGTTTCCACAGCCACCCTATATAAGGAGGTGCTCCTAGGAATAATCATCAGTTGGAATCCTGATCTTCAAGCTGCAAGCAAGAATCGCCATGGAGGATTTAATGCGGAAGGTCCTGGAGAAGGCACAGAGCACTAGGGGAGAAAACTGGCTTCGTCACTGCCTGGGAGAAGAGACAGAGGTAGAAGAAGTCACTCACCGGTCGGCGGCTGATGTCATGATGGACGGACGAAACGTTGTTGAAAGTTGGGAGGATGCCGCCCCCCCCCGATGTGGCCAGCCAGAAGGTTCCGTGGATGCAGATGGTCAGAGGGACCGGACGGGTTTTGCGTCTGCGACGCCTCGACGGGTGTCTGAACCGCTTCGCGCCGAGTCAAGTGGAGGAGGTGACCAGGACGTCAGAGGCGGAAGGGGGCGTGGCTAAGCACGTCAGGAGGAAAGGCCGGGCTTATTCGCCGTCTCCAATCAGGAGCCGACGGGGAGGAGTCAGAGGCCATACAGTGTCCCCTAGGCAACAAGCTGTGGTTGTGCGGTGTGACAGTTGGGCAGTTAGAAGAGGCTCAACGATTTTCTTTCAGAGACGCAGCTGGTGGTACAAGCTCTGGACAGCAGACGGCCTCCGTTTCTACAGCAGCAACTTTACACAGACGTACTGCTATGAGTGATGTGGCAGTGGGGCAGCTTTCTTCTCCTCTTTCAACCAGCACAGCTGTCGGTCGGCGATGAGCGGATTCATGCCGAAGCAAGCCTTCAATCTTCAGCTTCCACTTCTGCAGGAGCATCTTTACACAGACATCAGGCTGTACGTGAGTTGCCAATTGGACAGTTTTCTTCTCTCCTTTCTCAGCCAGCGCAGATGTCAGTCGGCGGTGTGCAGGTTCCTTCTGAAGCAAGCCATCTTCCCCAGGTGTTACCACTGGTCGGAAGCGGCGTTGCGGTGCCTTCTTCACTTCCTGTCCATACTTCAGGTAATTGCAGTGGTGAATCTGAGAAGTGCAATTTTTTAAAGGATTTGATTTCATCACTGTCCAATATTGCTGATAAAATGTCTGCCCCTTCCTCATCTCTTGCATCAGTTTGGGATCAGCCGGTGGCAGTTGGGGGTAGTGCTAGTATCGTTTCTCCAGTTGTTACGCCTATTATTGGGATGAAAGATGTTGGGTTGTGGTTGAATCTGCTATCATCACAGAGACAAACTCCTTTTAAACAACCCGTTTCTGTTTCTACATCCTCACTTCGCAAGGGTTTTTGTTTTGCTTTTAATGAGGGTCACTGCAAATGGGCTGCAGCATGTAAATATAGGCACGAATGTTCATTTTGTGCTAGTCCGCATCAGTTGAGCAAATGTTTTAAAAAGGGTTGTGTACCTTCCACGGCGGTCAAAGATATTTTTCAAAAAAGCCTGCACGCCTGTGAGGCTGGAAAAAATGCTGCCGTGGCTGGTGCAGTACCCAGATCGGGGGAAGGCGCACTTGCTCATTGATGGGTTTCGGTTTGGTTTTTATCTCCCTACATTTAAGGGTATGGCTTGTACGGTTGTAAATAACTTAAGTTCGGTTCAGGAATTCTATTCAGTTGTTAAATCTAAAATTTTCAAAGAAGTTTTGGCGGGGAGATTTGCAGGTCCTTTCGCTACGCCACCGTTTGCGAATTTCCGCATTTCCCCGTTGGGTTTGGTTCATAAAAAAGAGCCCAATTCCTTTAGATTAATTCACCACCTTTCTTATCCTAAGGACGATTCGCTGAATTTGGATATAGATAGAACCTTATGTTCTGTTTCATATACAACTTTTGCTGAAGCGATTGCCAAGGTTAAGAAATTTGGTCGTGACGCTTTGTTAGCAAAAGCTGATATTCAGTCAGCTTTTAGGCTCCTGCCTATAGTCCCGGCTGCTTTTAATTCTTTGGGTTTTTATTTTGATGGTTGTTATTTTTTCGATAGGTGTTTGCCGATGGGGTGTTCTTTGTCTTGTTTTTACTTTGAGTCGTTTTCTTCATTTTTAGAATGGGTGGTAGGCTGTGATGGCATTGTTCACTATTTGGATGATTTTTTGTTTATGGGCCCTCACGGTTCACCTATATGCTTGAGATTGTTTGAGCTTTTTGGTTCTGTTTGCAGTTACTTTGGAATTCCGTTAGCAGAGGAAAAGTCAGTCTTGCCTTCGGTGTCGTTGCAGTTCCTGGGTATTGTGATTAACACAAGTTCATTGGAATTTAGTTTACCTATGGAGAAGATTGATAGAACGCAATTGTTTATTACGACGCTTTTACGTGGGTGTAAGGTTTTGTTAAGAGATATGCAATCTTTGTTGGGTTTACTAAATTTTGCATCCCGCATTATGCCAGTAGGTCGGGTTTTCTCAAGGAGGTAGATTTAGCTATTTCCGGTCTTAAGTCCCCCTTCTCCCACGTGAGATTGACTATGGATTTGAAGGAAGACTTGTTGGTTTGGTACAAATTTTTTGACCAGTATAACGGCAAGTCCTTTTGGCAGAGTGATTTCTTTCCGGCAGAGGAGCTCAATCTTTTTACGGATGCAGCGGGTTCTACTGGTTTTGGGGTCATTTGGAACAATCATTGGTGTTGTGACAGGTGGCCTCTTTCTTGGGTGACTCTGAAAGCTACTAAAAATATTGTTTTATTGGAGCTTTTTTCGGTGGTAGTGGCTTTAGAAATATGGGGTGTTCAATTTTCCAATTGGAGAATTTTACTTTATTCAGATAATAAAGGGGTAATTTTTGCTATCAATTGCTTGTCTTCCAAGTCTCCATCAGTAATTAAATTATTGAGGTATCTGGTTTTCTTATGCCTTAGATTTAATATCTGGTTAAAAGCTAAATTCATCCCTGGAAAATTGAATGTATTGGCGGATTCTTTGTCCCGTTTTCAGATGCAGCGGTTCAGGGAACTTCTACCGGACGCAGATCAAGAGGGTTTCCCGTGCCCAGGGCACCTCTGGAGTTTGATTTGAATCTTATTTCAGGAAACATAAGAAATTCTGTGGCACCGAAAACATGGGCCGATTACTCTGCCTCATGGAAAAAGTGGTCGGGTTTTAATGAAGAAATGGGATCGTCTGCTGTCGCTCAGTGTGAAGAATCTATTCTAGCATTTCTTTGCTCCATGCTTAAAAGCAGACCTTCCTATAGCCAGTTGGCTAAAACGGTATCTGGCATTTCATGTTTCTTTAAATTGTTTAATCTGCCTCCGTGTTGTAGTTATTTTTCTGTTCAAAGGGTTTTGAAGGGTTATAAAAAGGGAAATTTTTCTCGGGACGATAGGGGTCCAATCTCAGGTGAGCTTCTTAGGCTGTTGTGTACGGCAACTTCTGTGATCTGTTATTCGGCGAGTCTTTGTTGTTCCATACAGCGTTTCTAATGGCATTTTTTGCAGCTCTGCGCATTTCGGAGCTTGTACCGCCTAGTAAAAGGGTTGAATCGGGTCTCATGTTTAGGGAGGTGTTGTTGGTCGACTCTGCTGTTTATTTCAGGATTGCTAAATCTAAAACGGATAAATTGGGCTTGGGACATCTGAGTGGTTGACTCTGAGAGCTTGCGGTGACCCTTTTCTTTGTCCAGTAGTTAGGGTGCGTACTTACCTTTTATCCAGGCCTCAGGTCGATGGAAATGTTTTGATCCATTTAGACGGTACTCCAGTGATGATATTTCAATTCAATAATGTTCTAAAAAAATGCATGTCATATTTAGGTTTGGGAGCTTTTAAATTTTCATCCCATTCTTTTAGGATCGGGGCGGCTACTGAGGCGGCTCGATTGGGTCTCGCGGAATCTGTTATTAAGAGAATTGGACGGTGGGGTTCCGATAGATTTAGTATATATGTGCGCCCTAATCTATCTCTTTGATTTTCAGGACGGAGGTCTGTAGTCTGGATTGTTGGACATTCATTTGAATTTTGGGCACAGAACCGAGCGGCTCATCGATGTTATTCGGAAAATTTGAGTATGCCAAAAGACAATTTTTGTGTGTTCTGGAAGGGGGTTAGAGGCTTAAAGTGGTGTCAGTTATTGATGGTTCTGCAGAATTTGATGCACTGCTGGCCTACTCCTGATATATTGGTAATTCATTTAGGGGGTAATGATATAGGTCAAGTAGGTACTTTAGATTTGTTATTTCAAATGAAAAGGGAATTAACTGATTTAAAAAGAGCATTGCCTTGTACTTGTTTTGTTTTTTCCGAAATAGTACCTAGAAGGGTTTGGTTGTCATCTGTGACAGGTCGCCCATTTGAGAAGATTCGTAAACGCTTGAACACAGAGCGCTGGAGAAATTTATGCCATTTTTGGGTGGGTTTTCATTTAGACATAGGGATTTGGAGGGAGGTTTAGAGGGTTTTTACCGCCAGGACGGGGTACATCTCTCTGTTGTGGCGTTAGACATTTTTAATTTAGATTTGCAGAATTGCATTGAGCTGGTCGCGGCTAGTGGTGGTGCCTTGGCTTGCGATGGCGCGAGCCATCCTGGTGGGGACTATTCCCTTGAGTGATGTATTGTTCGAGTTTCAATAACTGGGCAATATGATTGGTTTTAACATTTTACTGGTTAATTGAGTTTAATGGATTATTAAAGATTGATTTAATTATTTATTCCAATAAAATGCCGCAGCCAATTAATGCCAATTCAAATGAACTAGTGTGTTTTGTGGTTATTTATTTAGATTATTAAGTTAGTATAAGCATATGTCACCTACAGTACCATGCAGATGAATGTTGGTTTTATGTCTTCAAAGACCAGACAGGGAGGATATTTAGGGAAATCCAAGGAAAATCCAAAGACCAGACAGGGCCTCTTTAATGTCAACTATGTGACTCTTATGTTCAGTGCTCATTGGTTATTGAGTAAAATAAAAATCATTATAGCATAGAAAATTAGCCCGTTACCTTTAAATGGGAGTCTCAACTTATAAACCAACAAAGTTTGAGAATCTCAGCTATCTTCTGATCCAGTTAGTAGAAGCCCAGTCTGCTTGGCTCCTCCAAGTCTTCACAATATGCTCACCCCTTGACTTCCATGCTTTCACACCAACATGCAGACACACATGTGTCACTCACTGACTTGCTAACATGAGTGAAAACCTTGTTCTGGGTCAGAGTTTATTTTACCGCCTCTTTGAAAAGGGAAAACGTTGGTACCTTCCCACGTCATCAGTAGCCCTCCCTGAAATGCCTTGTATTTCGGATGAAGGATAAGCATCCTCTTACAGTGTTTGCTGACATATATTGGCCTTAGAGGCAGAGCATGTTTCAGACACAGGCCTGCTAACACGATTTATGGTTACTGGCACACAGATGTGAAGAGTGAGAGTGGCAGTTATTGTCAACAGTTCTTAGAAGTATTGGACCACATGGCGCCAGAGAACAAGTTTACCCATTCCTGTCATTTTAGTCGCCTTAAAGGAATAATGGAAGAAAATTTGAGTTAGAAGACAACATGAAATGTAAAACACAATCTTTATATTGAAGAACATGGGCCAGATAAACTGCTTTCAGTATGTCAAATATTTAGTGCACGGAAACGTAATTGTAAAAAAAAATAGCAGGGGCCACAAAAAGTTTCACAATCTGCACAAAATACATAATGATTTAGAAAATGAGTCAGTATTTGGCACAATAGAGGTGTGCAGTGGTGCCCCAAGAGAATAATGGCACAGGACAGTTACACATTCTAATCTGTGCAAATTAGACTCTTTGATCCACAACATAATAGTTTATTTGATAAGCAGTGCACCCCAAAGATGTCACATGCGACAATTAGCATCCCTCAACAATCTTAGATTATCTGGCCCAGTGTGTGTATTCATTTTATTAATTTACGTGGGGTGTAAAAATTCTGCACTACTATGCAGATAATATATAGTACAAATACCATATCAACATTAGTCCTGGCCCTGAATAAAGTCTGAATCTATTCTGTGTTTGTGTTGATAGATAGATAGATAGATAAATAGATACTGTAGATAGATAGATAGATAGATACTATAGATAGATAGATGAGGGGTTGGAACCCCTGTCAGGTGTGCCCTTGTAACCATTGTCATTGGAATGACGGTGAGGGAAAATCCAAAATGTTGTCATCAGAACAGAAAGATAGGGGAAATCTTCCAATGGGAACATTTGTTGCCGTGGCAACTGTCTAAGAGGGGATTTACTTCACTTTGGAGAGTTTTCCACTCTCTCTTTGTTGTGTCTCCAGGACAGGAAGTGAAAGGAAGTTTCTCGAATAGGGCACAAATGGCAGAACAAACCTAACAGTGGTTTTAACTATTCCCTGCTTTTTCCAATATGAAGAAAAAAAGGTTTGGGCTTTAGATATACATTTAGATGGAGGAAAACTTGAGCTTTTTCTATTTGAACCAATCAGATGTTAGTCTTGATACTCGTGAAAATAAGTTTTGTTTTTGGCTTTACTTTTTCTATCATTTTCATACATTACAACCAATATTTAAAGTGTATCTCAATCCAAACTATTCTGTTGTTAGCTTTAAATAGAGTAGAGGATGGTTAATACCTTTCCTTTTCTGGTCTGTGTTCTTTGGAGGAGATTTCCCTTCATTCCCCTTCCCCTTTCCATCCTGTTTGCACATGTGCAGTGTTCATGTTGGGAATTTTTTTATACGAAAACACCACTAGTCCATCGAATTTGAAAAAGGTTTCCCAACCTGACCAATCGAGGAAATTCAAGACAGGAGTACAGTAAAAAAAAATCTTTGGGT